TTCCTCCTCCATCCGTCCCCCTCCCCCTCGGTGCTTTGGCGTCACACTGTCAGGCGGTTGGAATTCTTAAGGTAGAGAATTTCTGTCTTTACTTGTGCTTGTTGTGACGTTGGCCACACGGGCTGCGCGGGCCTGCAGCTCACACCTCACGTGTGATGCATGTGTTCTCATTTTAACGCAGGACCTGGGATTCCAGGCGCAAACCCCGAGGCGGCAAGTCTAGGAAAATCAAGGCAATGGCGGAAGTGCCCCCGTGACTTTAGGGGGTCGTTCTCCTCACTCACGGCGATCACGCGAGTGAAAACCCAAGGGAGACGGGCAAACCTCAGGTCCCACAGATGCTGCTGAAGTAGAAACGGAAACGTGTGCTTGAGGTTCTCGACTAAACCGATCACACGCCCGGGGAACGGCTGTGACTCCGTAACAATCGTCCTGCAGCCGAGAGAAACGCTGAGAGACAGTGGCACCTGTCCTGGGCTGGTCCCGGCCATGCAGGCCCTGGAACACAGGTTTCAGCAGCAGCTGACAGACTCCCGTGTGTTTTCCACGGAACAGCCTGCAACACACCCCCAACCCTCACCCTCACCCCGACCCTCGCTGCTTCTCAGTTGGCCACAAGGGAGGCTGCCAGGCACCCCTGGCCCCAGTGAGCTGGGTGTAAAAATCATCCCCATGCGTTTCCTGTGCGGTTGGCTGAGCGCTCGCTCCCCCGTGGGGCGGCCAGTGCATCTTCTCTGGCGCCTGTAGAACTTCCATCAAGAGGAAACGACTGTGCCCCCGGGGACGTGGAGCCAGAGAGGGGAGACACTGCCATGCGTGAGCCCCGCAGGCGGACGTGGGGAGGGCTGCCTCTCGACTGTGAAAACAGGAACGGGTGCGTTTCCTTCTTCACGTTGTGAGTGGCACGTCTCCCCTCGTGACCCAGCGACTCGCAGGCCGTGGCGCAGGCGCAGCTGATACACACGACAGGAGACAGCCTCGGTGCTCACCACTCTCAGCTCGTCCACACCCTTCCCGAGCGCCACCTTCTCCATAAGCGAGATGGCGTTTCCCCTGGATCGGATGGTGTGCGCTCTGTGGGAAGGGAAATGGGACGCATGGAACTGGGCCTCGGCCCCCACCTCGCCCCCGCGACAGCCCGCTCCTGCCCGAAGCGCGTGAGCGTCTCTCCAGGGAGAAGCCCCTGGAGCCACGGTTCCCTCAGGAACCTCAACAGGACTCGGCGCACATGGGCCTGAAGCCGCCAGGGCTCACCTCACAGGCTCCCCCCGGGCCCGGCCACGGACCCAGCGCAGACCAGACAGACGGACAGACACCAGACCCATCTCCCCGCCCCCCACGGTGGACAGCGCGTGCCCCGCAGGTGCCCACAGCCTTCTCGGACGACCCGCCCGGTCACAAGGCCGCCAGCAAACCCAAGGTCGAGGCCCTCGCCTGGGGCACGGGGACCCGCAGAGATGAGACACAAGCAGCACACGCCTGACCTGCCATCTCACCGAGAAGGAGCCCAAAGGGAAACTTGAAACAAACAAAAAAGAACGTAAACACGACGTCCGGGGGAGGTCGGTGCCCACGGGGGTCCGTGCCACTCGGCACGTCCTTTCTTC